CAAACCCAAAGAAACCCTAAGGATCAAATCAAAGTTTAGAGTATGTGATGGAATCACGAGGATACTTCACGTCTTTAACCTGTCGAGAAATTCTACCACTCGAGGCTTCGTCGAGGCTAATATTAAAGTTACCCCTCCGTCAAATGAAGCCCTTCATTCTTAATAGTTGTCCTAATCTTGTATTATTTGACTCTATATACTATTTTTTTCAAAAATTATAATTTTTATGTCCAAATGCCTACTAAGAAAGATAAATCAACCTATTCTATATTAGATAAATCCCTCAACGCTCAAATTCATGATAATGGCTAATAGCTGATGGAAATAAAAGTCTTTTACCAATATTCTACGACCACCTCCAATCTTACACTAAATATTACACCAAATCCTCTTTTGGTGTAATATTTGATGTTTCGGTGCTCCAACTCAAGACCATTTCTTACAACATTTTGGTGTGAATAGTGTTACACCAAATTGGTGTGTGAATAGTGTTACACCAAATTGGTGTAACACTATTCATCAACACCATTACTATTTATTAATATTTTATTATTTTTTTTTATTATATAACACTTTATAATTTAATATATTATAAAGTTTGCTTTTTTCATTTAGATCCCTAATAGACCTAATTATTTTTATGTAATATCTTTGTAATATTAATTTAGATCTTAATTTTGGTGTATAATGTTTATAATTTAGTTTGCGTATACAATATTTTATATAAAAACGAAAGGATTTGTTTTATGAAATAAAATTATAAAATTTAAATAAAAGAAAATAATATAATATAGAAGAAGAATATAAAAGGGATATTCTTTGTTTGATATAAAAAATAGTGTAATGAGTTGGAGTTAATTTTTATCATTTTGGTATAAAAATAGTTCTTAAGGTTGGAGGTGCCCTAATTAATTGTAACGACCCAACTGGTCGTTTCATGAGTAACCACTCTGTTTTTTTCATTTCTGCTTCTTATTGTCTTGTTCAGCTGTATTACGTGTTATCGGGTTGGTTGGTTCGCCAGAGAGGTTTCGGAAAGGAATGAGACACTTAGTCTCTTGTGAGTAAGCTTAGGTTGGAAAAGTCAATCGGATGTTGATTTAGGTGAAAGAGGGATCAGGTGTAAATTCCGATGGTTCAGATAGCTTCGGGAGGTGATTTTCGATGGTTCAGATAGCTTCGGGAGGTGATTTGGGATTTAGGAGCGTGATCGGAATGTGTTTTGGACGTCCGGAGTAGATTTAGACTTGAATTGGCGAAATTGAAATTTTGGCATTTTTCGGTTGATATGTGAGATTTTGATATAGGGGTCGGAATGAAATTCTGGAAGTTGAAGTAGGCATGTGGTGTCAATTGTGATGTGTGTGCAAAATTTCAGGTCATTCGGACGAGGTTTGATATACTTTTTGATCAAAAGCGAAATTCGGAAGATTTTGGAACCTTAGGCTTGAATTCGATGTTATTTGGTTGATTCAATGTTGTTTGGGGTGTTTTGAAGATTGGTATAAGTTTGGATAGTGGTATATGGCTTGTTTGTACTTTTGGTTAAGGTCTCGGGGGCCTTGGGGGTGATTTTGGATGGTTGACAGGGAATTTGGGAAATTGTTGGAGCAGCTCCAGCTGCTGATTCTTCTGTCATAACTGCCCCTGCGGTAAGGGAATCGCAGGTGCGATGACCGCAGAAGCGAGATCCAGCCGCAGATGCGGCCACATGAGAAGAAGTGAGAAGCCGCAGATGCGGAAGGTGTGTCGCACCTGCGAGCCCGCAGATGCGGAGCTTGGGTCGCAGGTGCGGATAAGGGGGATTAATGAGAAACCGCAGAAGCGGTTGATTATGGGCAGAAGCAGTCCTGCAAGTGCGGGAATTTGGATTGCAGATGCGGTTTTGCTCGACTAGAACATATATATTTCACCCTTCGCGATTTTGAGTGGGTTTTCACCATATTTCATTCGGGAGAAAGATCTGGAGAGCTAATTGAAGAGAGAATTCAAGAGGGTTTCTTAGAGGTAAGGTCCTTGGTTCCTAAACTCGTTTTATGATGATTTTTAAGGTTGTAAGCTTGAAATATATGGGAAAATCGGTAGCAAATTGGGGGTAAGGGCTTGGAAAATTGGAGACCTAATATTAGGGATTTGAGGGGTCATTTGTGGGCGGATTTTGGTACTTTTGATATGAATGAACTCGTGGGAGAATAAGGATTCCGTTAGTGTAAATTATGTTGGATTCCGAGACGTGGGCCCGGAGGTCGGGTTTGGTCAATTTCGAAATTTGTGTTGTAATTTAATTATTTTCGAGTGAGCTTTTTTCCCTTAGCATATTTTGATGGTTATATACTGATTTTGGTTAGATTCGAGGCATTTGGAGGCCTAATCGAAAGGAAAAGGCGTCGCGGGCTAGAGTTTGGCTTGGCTTGAGGTAAGTAATGCTTCCAAACTTGGTTCTGAGAGTTCGAAACCCCGAACTATGTNAGAGGCAAGGGCGTCGCGGGCTAGAGTTTGGCTTGGCTTGAGGTAAGTAATGCTTCCAAACTTGGTTCTGAGAGTTCGAAACCCCGAACTATGTGTTCTATGATTACTATTGAGGTGACGCAATGCCAAGTGACAGGCATGTAGGCGTGCACCGTGAGAAATGCGGCTTGGGTCATTCCATTGCATCGCTTAGTGACTCTTTTGTGTTGATAGCTGTGTTGTAAATTATGTGCTTAAGCTAATTAGCTGCAAATCATGTTAACTATCATGTTAAGGTTTCACGCCAATACTGTTGAGACCCGAGAGGTCGTTTCTTGTTGTCATGTCATTAGTTTCATCTATAATATACTCATTCATGTTCATGCATATTATATCATGCCTCAGTCTCGATTATTGTTATTTGACATATCATATCATTGTTTGGGCTCGTATCCTAACATTGTTTGCCCGTGTGTGTGAGACTGGAGAGTATTGACTGAGTGAGGCCGAGAGCCTGATATTGATTGACAGTATGAGATTGGGCTGCACATCGCAGCGAGATATTGAACAAGCCTTCATTGGCTTTGTTATAGCGCTTGAGCTAATGAGAGAAGCCACTCTGAAGTCTTTACACCCCCAGTGAGCGCAGATGATGACATTTAGGGATGGATCTTCCCTGGACATGGATCTTGTCCGAAGTATTATACCGGGAGATGGATCTTGTCCGTGAGGCTGGACTGGCCGGTGTACTCGGTACTGGATGACTGTGGTTAGTGATATATATTCTGGGATGGATCTTCCCAGGTCCGGATGGCCATAAACAGTACCGAGAGGTTGAGTACTTGTGAGTGGACGTTCATAGAACATTGATCATGCTAGTTGTGCATTTGTATATGTAAAATCCCTGAGATTTGAACTTCGTACTATCAGTTGCATTGAAATTCTGTTGAACTTTACTTGAACTGTAAGCATGTCTACATTTCTGTACAATTAACTGTTGCAACTTGTTGAGGTTTGGTTCGTCACTACCGTCAGTCCATAGTTGGGATTTGTTACTTACTGAGTTGGTGTACTCACGTTACCCCCTTCACCCCTTGTGCAGATCCAGGTATCTCGGGGCACGGTAGCGGCTGTTGATTACATTGTGTTTACTTTCACTTGGAGATTGCGAGGTAGCTGCTTGGCGACCGCAGTTCTGCCTTCTCCTTTCCCTATCTTCCTTTAGTTTATATGTTTTGGATATTCTCAGACTGTGTTGGTCATATTATTATTTTGAACAGTTGTATTAGTTGTGGCTCATGACTTAGTGACACCCGATGTCGGGATTGTATTTCTTTCCGCTGGATTTTGGATTCCTACTCTTATCTTATTGAACTTATGTTAAAACTATTATTTTCTTTAAGTTTCACTTGAAAAGGGTGTATTTGAAAATAAGTGGTTGGCCTAGTATCACGATAGACACTACCACGACATGGCCAGATTTTGAGTCGTGACATTAATCAATTATTAATCAAGAGAAAGTTTTAGCTTGTTTATTTGGTCTCAAAAATTTCTTCTTATTTGGTTGAACACTCTAATTGGTATTTATCAAATATGACTCACTAGTTGACATACTAACAATGTGATTAGATGGTGATGTATTATTTTTATATATTAGAGAAGCTAGTGGTTTCGATAGGTGTGTTTAGTGGAATTTAATTCAGATCTGTGGGCAATTTAGTTATTTAATCTATTAGCTAATGTGGATTTTGTTTCTGCAGCCAACACATCTTCTTTCCTTTCTTTCTTAGCCGCGTATCTTATTCCTTCGTTTGTTTCTCAGGTCTCTTCAGTTTCTCTCAAAGATATACAGTGAGAGCATCTCTATAACAACTTCCCTATATAACAACACCTTACTATAAAAGTCAAACTTTTTTGGAACCAATTTTTAAATTATGTTATAATATATGCTCTATATAACAACACTTTGCTATAACATCCAAAAATATTCAGAACAAACGATGTTATTATAGAGAGGTTTGACTGTACTCCATTTGTTTGCTCCTTTCTTTAATTCTCTTCGCGTACAAATCTTGCTGCAGGTATGCGTTCAATCAATTTTGCACTTATCTTTTTTCTACTTTTTCCTTCTTTCTTTTTCCATTTTCGGTTTCTTCTAGGTTCTCTTCATCATTGTTAGTTTTGATTCTGAAGTTCAGTGATTGTTGTAGTTCTTTTCTGATTTTCTCCAGATCCTTTTTCTCTTCTTTTAATTTCTGCCCTATTTTCTTTTGGGTTCTCTATATGATTTTTAACTTTGCAATCTTATGGCAAGTGTGTGTTAAATCGGATGGTAAAATTGTATTTTTAATACAATTTCAAGGCTGATATATACTAAATCGAAGGCTGCGAGTCCTGTAGGCGCTAAATGGGAGGCTGATACTCAGCAAGTCTTAATTTAGGATTTTTTTTTTATGGAATTGTTTGCAGCTCAAATTTTATTTTGGCGAAGATGAATTGAAATCAAGAAAACAATTCAGTGTCTTTGGACGAAAATTGTTTTTTGTCTGACACTGCGTGGTTGTCTTTGTGGATGTAATTAGAAAAGGGAGCAAAGTTCACGGTGCTTGAAACCAAAGCATACAACAACAACAACTCACTATAATCCCATTAGTGGAGTCTGGGAAAGGTAGTGTGTACGCAGACCTTACCCTTATCCTGGGGTAGAGAGGCTATTTCCAAATAGACCCTTGACATCATTCCCTCCAAGAACTCCCCACCTTGTTCTTGGGTGACTTGAACTCGCAACTCTTGTTTGAAACATATTTTGAAATTATTTCCTGCATCTGTATAAGAAATAGTTTTCTTTAGTGTTATTTGCCTGAACTTTCAAATAAAAAAGATTGTTATTCACCCGAGGACAGATTGCGCCTCACTTTTGTATTTGGGAACTTATAGCTATTATTTTCTAAGTATTAAATTGCTTTAAGGGTTTGACTTATATAACTATAAAGCACTATTAAAGAGTAAATACATTTAAACAGTGACTAAATAGTTAAGCCATTTCTATTTAGTGGCTAACTGTTCCCCTACAAACGAATTATATCAAAACTGAAATTGTCAGGTCCGCGTTTTTGCACGGGCCGAAAATTATCTAGTTTTATGAGATGTATGAGTCAGCAGAAAATGACATTAATGGTCCCTTATGTTTGCGTATAGGTTCAAAAAGTCCCCTTAAGTATACTCTGAGTATTTTCAGTCCATCACATTTAATTTGCTCAGAATTTAACAATATTGGTGTCAAAGTCGAATATTTAAGGAAATGTCTCTTAGATTTGATTACAACAACAAGCTCAGTGAATTTCCACAAGTGGGGTATGGGGAGAGTGGAGTGTACGCATACCTTATCCCCGAAGGTAGAGAGGTTGTTTCCAATAGACCCTCGGCTAAAAATTTAAGAATATATATAAAAATTATGTATTTATATGTCGGGTTGGTTCAGATTTTTTTACTCAATACTAAACCAAATCAAACCAAACCTAATCGGGTTTTTTAATCGATTTGACTTGACTTTTTGGTTTGGTGCGATTTTCCAGTTCGATTTGAACACCCCTAATCCTAGTTGTTAGTCTCAGTTGTCAGACTAAGTTTTTAGCCCCATATCAAAATTGTATTGGAAACGCGTTTATGTATCACTTATGTCACACTTATAGATAGATATAAGAATTTAGATAATACCAAACACACCCATAAGTACCTGTTAAAATTGCTCTTATTCTGCCAATAGGCTACGGGAGGAAAAAAAGACGAGAGGGAAGGTAGATTGAAAAGAAGGAGAAGAATACAGATAGCCAATTAAGCTATTATTGATAATATTTTATGAATTAGCTAATATTGATAGTATTTGTATTCTGAAAGACCAAACTTAGTAGTTTATCAAGAAAGAAAAATTGTCTGCTTTCATAGTAAATGTATTTTAAAACTTTAATTTAAGTTACTTAAATTTTTATATTAGTAAATAATTTTTTTTTACACCAAGATCCAAGGCAATATATTGCAAAATATATAGCTAACGTCTTATAACTCAAATTAACCCTTATTAATATAAATAATTATATTATTATGTAAAGTTACGTAAAAAAAAAGTCAGGCAACATGTGTATATGTACATATATAATTTTTTTTTAAAAGATTTAAGATCTCTTATTAAACTTTAACTTTAGACTATTAATTATATTGAGCGGCCTAAGCAGTCTTTTCTTCCACCTCAAAACTTTACTCTCTCACATTATTCTGTACAATCATATTCTTTGGAGTAGACATAGGCCCTAACGCCTCTTCAAAGCAAGTTCCAATAGATGATCTCCATCTTATTCCGATGAGCACAAGAACAGCTGAGCAGAGATTCTCTCTCAAGATGTAACACAAATACTTTCTTAGAATCCTTTGTCTTTGAAGAAACTGAGGTGTTTACCGTGAAAAAGGTAACAACAATTAAATTTGTAAACGGGATTCTAAAAATATGTGATCTATTTTTATGCTAGTTGTTAGAGCAGTTGATGCTAAGATTATGAAGTTTAACAAAGAAATACGAGCTAAAGCGGGGCAGTAATGAAACCGAGATGCTTGCAACCCGAGCCTCGGACTGGTCGATAAAGGACCTCGAGGTCGATATCTGGCTCGAGCTCGAGCTATCGGGGGTAGTTGGGAATGGGATAACAGTTAAGGTATGATCAAACAAGGCTCTTTATGGCCAATACCAAGCAATAAACAAAGAACAAGTATGAAAACAATAAACGTTAAGAGTGACCTCTAGCTAATAAGAACGAGCAAGTTAGAGAGAAAAGAGAGAGAGATATTATTGATCTTGTGGAGAATAGTTGGAGCAACATCAACCCTTTACAAAGTAGTGTGGGTTCTCTTTATATAGGAGGGAAACCCGGTTATAGTACAACATGCATTAATTGTAAAGTATGGAGATGAGATGGCCAGACGTGACGCTTCGACATAGGCTCTGGATAGGCCGGCTTTGACAGACTTAGTTGTGTACCTTGGGAACTTCCCCTTCTGCTCTAGCCTTGTCCTTCGTCTTTTTTGGGTCAGGTCTCGACGAGCCCCGAGGGAGGGGACTTGGTCGCAACTCCACGTCCTCGGGGCCTCGAGGTATTCTTTCGAAGTGGCTTGATAGAGAGAAATTAAGTCCTCCGATTTTGCCGCATACAGATAGTCTCCGCGTTTCCCAGAACGAAGCGATAGGAAATGATTCTGACACCTGACTCCACGAGCTTCCAACCTGTGGTGCAAGCTTTTGCGGCAACCGGGGTGTCCCATGGGCTTGTGTATTTGACATCATTCAATGCACTGTCGATTCCCGTTCTCCAAGATGAATGCTCCGCCGTCGATTCGGTTCTTCAAGAACGCAGTAATTGCGTTCGCCGGTCAATCTTCCAAAGCCTCGATGACCGTGTCGGTACCCCCTATAAATGGGGGTGCTTTGGCGTTGTTTTTTCTATCCATGTACCTTTGTTGGCTCATTTGCCCATTTTTTCTTATCATCTTCCTCTATCCTTGAACATTATGTTTGGGGCTCATGGCCTCAAGGCCGATTGGTAGAGCTCCCGTAGGCTGTGTTGTGGCCTTTTGCCGGAGCTTCTCTTTGTCGAGCACGACCATGTTGTCCCGTCACTGTTGTGGTTGTTGTTACGTCTATTGTTGCTGTTGTCGTTGGCCCGAGACAGAGATAGACGGGGAATTGGTTCTCCCTTTTTTATAGACAGTTATTCGGACTATGCATCGCTGCTCACTCTCCTACCTAGGCCTGGTGTGGAACTTCATCCCTTGGAGTTTTCCTTTCCCAAGGGATAAAATGGCACCACCAGCCGTTGAGGCTGGGGGCCGCCGAGCTTTGGCGGGCCATGTCTCTTTTCTTTGCCTCCTCTGCATCCCCTTCTTTTCCTCTTCTTCATCTTTTCCCTCGGCGGGGACCTTCCGCGGGATTGAGCTGCGAGCCTAGAGGAGATGGCGGTTGAAGGAATCGCCCTCGAGGATGCGAGCTCGAGGGGGCGGCGCTCGAGGATGCTGATACCGGAGATGGACCTTCGAGGATGGACCGCATTCTCGGGTTTCATCACATGTACATCCTTCCACCGTTTTTGTGTAGAGATCCTCTGTAGGCTTTTGTAATTATATGTGAGGACCCTTCGAGGGCTGTTGTACATGGATATTTATGAATACAAAGATATTTCCTTGATTTCTGTTTTTGAATTTTGCCCTATTATTGTATGTCCCATGCGCTGCGAGGCCTTTGAATTCCTTTGATGTTGACCGCTGACATCTAACTTGGATGCGAGCGTTCTTTCCAATCCTCTGCCGATTGACATGGCTCTTTTTAGAGCCCATCGTTGTACCTCGGACCAAGCTTGAATTGATCTGATAGACTCGGGCTGTCGGGCCCTTCGAGTTGCATGGAGATAGTACGTTGAGTTTTGGAGCTTTCGAGAGTGGTATCCTGAGCGAATGTCAGCTTCGGGTACTTGGGGGGTCTGTTTTGAACTTGATGCAGATAGCCTTTTAAAGCGTAGTGGATAGACTTTCGTTGAGGGGTTGCCTATGCTTAGGCGATGCCTCAAGCCCTTCTAGAGCCTTCATGATCGGAGCTTCGTGTGCTTATTTTTCTTTTTAGAAAGGTAAACCATGAGATCGGGTACCGCCTCGAGTTCTATGATGGCGTTGAAGGCTTCCCGAAGCCTGACTTCTTTTTTGGCGGAGATCCTCGAGGTCGGGCACTACCTCGAGATTGGAAATGATACAATTGACTTCTTGAGTCCTAACTTCTTTTCGATGGATGCCTCTGGGGTCGGGTACCACCCCAGGATTTGTACCAAGGCCGTTGGTCTCCCAGGGCTTACTCTGGATAGGTGAATCGTTGTTGTTTTCCACAAATATGTGGGTGGCTTTTGCTTCTTTGGGAGATCTCATTATTTTAGATAGCAATCCCTCCGCCCTGGAATCGGGTCCTTCGTCTCTTCAGGCACAAAAGGCATTGGCGCACGTCCTTGCTTTAGTCTGTCAATTCTACCATAGCCATGGCAGCTACTTCGGG